GTCAATCATTTAAATGTTAAACAATCATAATCATATTCCTGACATTTTTATATTCCAACTATGTTACTATAAACAAAACTATATATCTTAAATTTGATAACTAACGGGGACTGTGCCATGCATGGCTTGTTGACCAAGTTGTGCCTACTTGATAATTTCTTTTATTAATTACTCTTGTCGACTTTATCTAGTTTATATATATATATATATATATATATATATATATATATATATATATATATATATATATATATATATATATATAATTTGATGTTTTCTATTCTCAACTATGTGCTGTATGTGAGTATAAACAAAGAATTTTTACCTCTATGATAATAGATCAGCGGAACTTGGGAATGTCAATGAGAGTTGAAAGGTCATCACTGGATCAGGTTAAAAAACGATTTGAACTTAATAAGAAAAAGATGGAAGATAAGAAACAAGAATATGATTTTGAACAAAGAATGACTGAACTGCGAGAGGAAGTAAGTGAAATGCTGTAAAATACATTGTTTTAGTTGGAATTAATTTTTGCTGGAAAGACTTTATGGAGTTTACTTCTGATGTTTTGAATGTAAAATGTTGGGAAAAGGACATACTGAATCATTTCTTCATTAATGTTTGAAATACTTTTGTAGCAGGAGCTCACATTGCTTATACATGGATCAGTCACCTGAATAGTCAGATACTATAGACAAGATATTTGTGTGCATATTCATACATAAATTGTTAAAGTTGTTTTGAAATTATTTTTCAAAGATTCATTGTAATCAAACAATTGATTAGCAAATAAATACTTTTGAGATTTAACCAATCGATAAAAGTTCTTGTAGGTGGTTATAATCACTGGATATTTTCAACAACCCTCAAAATAATTTATTAACACAGAAAAATAAATATGCACGTTATACACCATATAGTTGAATTTAGTGTGTGTGCAGTGATTGAGTTGTATACCAGATTCCTTTCCCAGTTTAATAGTCAGTCAGTCAGCCAACCAACCCGATATTTCCAATGAAGCCCCTATACCAGTATACAAATGATGTATCCGAATGGCAAATTATAAGATCTAGTCACATGTATGACCCAATTTGTTTTTTAGTTTGATAATTAGATGGTTACTTAAGGTAGAGATGCAGGTTCGTGGGCACTTGGGAGTGACATTTTTTTTTTTTTTGCTTTTTATTATCCAAACAGTCTTGGCTTTAGACTGTTAAAATTTTGTAGAATTGTGAATAGTGGAACATACTCAATAAATGATTTTAAAATATTGATAACAGGTGCAAACATTATCTCTTTTGAATGCTTAGCAAGATTTAGCAAGGCTGTACATAAATAATAAAAAAGAAAGATGGTAAAAAAAAAGAAATGACGGGATCTCCACATTATGCACTATATTTAACTTTTTACAAAACAATAATAGAACTGTTACAGCCATTTTAATTATGAGCATTAGCAAACTTCTTACTGAGTGAATTGTTATGCAAATTAGCAATTATCTCAGCTTCTTTTTAGTGCACATTCCAGAACTTAAAAAAAAATAGTTCCTAGACGCTTTGAACTTTTGTTTTGAAATTTTTACAAATGATTGACGACGTGTTTATCTTCAAAACGCCGTTGGGGCATTGTTTTTGGTTGAAGAGTGTGACAACTAGCCTGGGTATTAATTTATGCATAAACTTGAAGTAGTGAAATTTGAGCTGCTGCCCTGCAAAATTGACAACTGGTAGACAGTTTTCAAGACGGCATGTTCTTCATAGTAAACAGATGTACCCGTAAACCAATTATTCAGAAAATATATAGTTTTGTGGACAAGAGAGGTCATCTTAGTTTTTTAATTAACTAATTAAAATACCTGTCCAGTAAACTGCTCTACCTTAACCCATTACTGAGTGTTGGTGGCGACAGAAGACAGTCAACCTTTTCACCACCAGTTCCCTCTTTTCATCACAAATTCACAAAATAGTTTCGCTAATAGTCTGTACATTTCTTTAAAGAATTGAGACAAAAATATACAAATTTTTTGAATAAAACTGAAAATTGACTCAAATTTTGTCGGCTCCAAAATTAGGGTTCATTTCCAGAAATATTGAAGAATATAAAAATAAATACAAAACAATTTTGGGCTAGAAAGTCTAGTGGTGAAAAGGTCAAGTTATATCAGATAGTGTTTTAAAGAGTAACCATTGCCATTACACTAGCACAAATCATGAGTTATTATTTATACATGTCTTGTTTGCTTACAGGAAGAAAAACAGAAAGCATACAGGAAAGATAAGAGGAAAGAAAGAAAAAGGAAAGCTGCCGATGATTTAGATTTTGAAGTTGATTCTGATATCTCTGCGATGATGGGTTTCTCAGGGTTCGGAGGGTCCAAAAAATAAAACTCTTATATGTAAATACATTAAAGTTTAACAGCATTTTACAAAATACAAGTTTTTTGGTTGGAAGGGAATCTTGATGAAAAAAAACAAGTTTTTGTATTTATATTTGTGTAGCTGTAAAACACATGGTGCATCATTTTGTGTATCAGATCTAGCACTAAAATTTGTTAGTCTTTAATCCTCATTCTGTGCCAACCCCATGTACTTTTACATTGACTTGACCAACGAACCAGCACTACCATCAGGGTGCTAGCCAGCCACCAGTCCACCCACCAAACGGACTGGCAACTTGGATTTTGGCCTAGCAACTTTTTCTCATTTTACTGTTTTTTCCTATTATTCTTTTATAATTTTACCAAAATATATCCAAAACCATCTACAGTTTTCATGAATTTGTTTTAGACTGGCAGTTGCAAATTGCTGGCTAATAGTGTGACTACCATGTAGGCTTTTTGTACAATTTGGATCAGAGACTCAACCAAGAAAGTATGCAACTAATTTCTATTCTTCACACACAGTGTTTGGAAAAATGGGCAGCTAATGAATCATAGAGCAAAGTAGACTGCAAATTGGCCTAAAGAAGCCTCTGGTCATGTTTTGAAAATGTTGGACAAAGTTGCATTATTAGCCATATATAGTACATGTAGCTACAGGATATATAGAGAATACTACCCGGTAGATGTTAATGATGGACAGTTACAAATAAGCTGTATGTTATACATGTAACTACTGGACATGTACAGAATACTGTGTAAATTATTACACACATATATACTGATTTATCACCAATTTATTAAAGTTTTTTTGTTTAGATAATACATTTCATGTGTTGTGTTTACTCAGAATAAGGTTATCAGTGTACGACAGTTGAGTGGAAGCCAGATTTAACCTGTTCATTTCCAGGTTCAAGCATTCAGTCAGATGTGACAGTCATGACTTGACCCTTTCACAACCAGATTTAACTGCAACTTGGTACCTTTTAATATTCTTTAACATTCAGGTTTAATCTATTTACCACCAAATTCTACCCTTTCTATGCCATTCACATCCAGATTTAACCCTCTTTCAACCAATCAATTCATTCTTGGTCAGATTCGCCCTTTCACATCAATTAAGTTATAAACCTTTTCATCTGAGAATATTACAGTAGCCTGATAGTTGCAGATACATTGTCTACCTGCGAAGTTGGACGTATCAAAATCAGATTTTGGTTTGTGCATTCTAAGACATTTGTCATGTATGTAATTGTATCAAAACTTGACGCAAGACCATGCATGACTTGCATGTGCACCATTTTGATGAAATATGGCTGACTGGCAGCCACTTTGTTTGCTAAATTGTGAGACTGGAAGTTTCGCAGAGATGAACTGACAATTTCATTCAAACTTTGTATCATAATCATGCTTATTGGATTACAGGTGAATGTCATAGTTTTCTCAAGATTCAAACAAAAATAGGCAACTGGTGGCCATTTTGTTCAAAATTCAGTTGAAAGTGATGATTAACAGTTTCTAAAAATCTGTGAAGAAATGCTGTGTTAAGTTGAAACTTTTCAAATATGCAAGTGTTGGTAAGGATATCATTGTTAATATTTTCATTCTGTATTTTGTGGTAGAGGACAGTACTGACAAAACAATCTGCATTATTTGAAATATAATTTCATTTTAATACAAATGCTTAATGATTTATATTTCTCAATATAAAAAATATCAGTTTTAACTGACAATTGTAACAAAAACGAGTGTAAATAATTTTACATCTACAGTGACAGATATATAATAATTATAAACACTTGTATTTCATGAAAAGACGTATTAATTATACATAACAGGAACATTTTAATGTTTCAAAAAAAGATATTATCCTCATTAAAGAGTTCTTGGAACACGCTTTTACCCTCTTCTTTGTTACTAACAACCAACCTGTAGAAACAAAGTAATATCATTAGTAAATATCAAAGAATGGACCAGTTTTTTTTTTTTTTTTTTTTTTAAATGGGGGGGGGGGGGGGGGAGCTAATACATGTACATGTATTGGGATTACTATAAGGTTATTATGAGAATCCCTCAAAGTATACATAAAAACAGTACAGCTGAAGTATCGGGCGACGCGCAGTGGAGGTCGATGCTCGGCGTACTGTCTGAGTGCATACTTTGAGATATTCTCGTAATAACCTTATTATACATCTTTTCCTTCCAATGATACATCATGGGAATGCGGAAATTCAAAATGTTTAGAACAGAATCAGCGAACTTCTTTGTGTAGAGTCTGATCAAACTCTGGTGGCAGCCATGTTTGTTTTTATTATTAGAGGACGCTTTAATACACACATAATCATTCCATATTTTGAATTCGCATTTCCTAATATGGTAGGATAAAAATACCCCGTAAAATTACGGCATGCTGTAACTTATGCAGTTACTGTGACAGATTTATGATAATACATATAACAGTAAGTACTGCAGCATTGAACTTTGCATCAGCCTCAACCATGTGAGTGGTATTTTGAATATGAATTTATTGATTTACATATTTAACATTTCAATCAATAAACTTTCAATCAAGCTAATTACTGTAAAATACTTCAATTTTCACTGAAAAGACTTTTTGGTTGTTTTGTAGGGAGTGATTTTTTATTTGAATGTAAAACATTGAAAAAAGATATTTTTGCTGGATTTTATTTTCACTGAATCATCCCTTCAGGGAAATTTAAGTATTTTACAGTATACTTAATTGTAGAAAAATAAATTCAATTAGTTTCCCGGTTTTGTTTAATGTATTGTTAGACTGAGGTTGCCTTCTAGTATATTTCCAGCACTTCAAGGGGCAATAATAAAATACCTATTCAGAGTAGCATTTCATATTTGTCAAAATCGTTCGATTATATATATCTTAAAATTATATGAATTCCAGCATAGAGGGCCCTCATGACAATTTATTGGAATTATAGTCAGGCAGGGTGCCTGCCAATAAATTTCACTGGTATTGGATACAAATGTACCTCTATACTACATTACTATGTAATGTGTGGTACATGATACAGTATAGCAGAATATGGATGGCATGTCTACATTCATCCACTCACTATTCTCTATTGTAACATGCCATGGTTATCTAATATGATAACAATATCAGACAATTACTATTATTTATAGAATATTATTTATCTGACAATTCATTTGGTATGTTAATATAGTAACTTGCATACCTGTTTTTATATTGTTTTCCATGACCTGTCTCACTGACTTCTTTGAATAATGAATTCATGACTGGCTTACTAAAGGATTCCTGTGGAATAATAGAGATAGCAAACAAGATTATGTGAACTTTAAACAATTTCAACAAGTATATAATTTATATTGCTATTTTCACTGAAATTCAGTGGAAATAAAATCCTCCAAATGTACTATTTTTACCTATACACTATGTTACATCCATCAAAAATGATCAGTGAAAATAAACTCCTTAAAAACATTCAAAAAGTCTTTGCAGATAAAGGATATTTTACAGTATAAAAGAATAAAAAAAAATGTCAGAAACTCTTAACCCTTTCAATATCAGACTTTCTTGTCCAAATTATTCTGCACTTTCTTCTTATATTCTTCAATATTTCTGGAAATGAACCCGCATTTTGGAGCCAACAGACAAAATTTGAGTAAATTTGGCTATTTTCGTCCCAATCTTCTAAAGGTAAGTGCAGACTATAAACCGGACTATTTTGTGAATTTGTGATGAAAAGAGGAAACTGGTCGTCAAAAGGATAAAGTAACAGATGTGAAAAAGTAGTAGACATGAGAGAATACGCACCTGACTGGTATCTATACTGCCTGCATCATTTTCTGTGTTCACACAGTGCTCTGTATTATCATGTTTTTCATCTTCCATTGGTGATAAACTTGATGAGGTGTTACCATGACAAAGAAAAATTGAATCATGCTAGCAAGATAAAGAGAAGCATTAACATCAGGAACTTGGTGCAAATCATTGACTAATGAACAGTGAACTTGCTTGTGGTATTACACTTTCCACAAAAATCACCCTTGTAAACAGTCTTGTATTCACATGTACATCTCTAGTCGCAGACACCAGTTGCAGAGAAGTGAAATATTGCCCAAAAATTAATTTGATCTTTCCATCCATTGTATTTTGTATATTCATATTAGAAGAAATGACCATTTTGACCATCTTCTTAAAATTCTCAGTTTCTTTATGTGATGATACAAAATGTTTGTGTATGTGATTTACCCAAAATATTTGCAGACTAAGCACATGGCAATTTCCTTGGCATCTCATAAAAGTGCATAAAAAAATACAGTCTATGACATTCAAAAGTTAATCAACATTGTCTTTTTCAAATTCAAATGAAATTCTATGAATACAAAAATTGCAAATGTCCTGTAAATGTCGACAGTGTCATTATTTTCAGGACTATTTTGTAATTATCTGGGCTTTTGACTTTTGACACTAATAAAACTAAGAATTGTGTAGTATGAAAGTAATATTAGTCTATACTTACCTCATCATCACTTTCCACTGCCGGATCAACATTTTCTTTTGCGTCATGGTCTTTTGTTGATGAACAGGATGAGGTGCCATGGTAACTAACATTTGAAATCTATGAAAATATGCAAGAAAAATAACAATAATCATTTTGAGTTTGTAACAGCTTCATTTGTTATGTAATCCTGGACCCAACCTGAGTTGAATGAAAGTATAGTTGCTCTTATACAATAGCTGGGTTTCTTTGTACAATATTTTGTTGTAGGCTCAGTCAAAGTTGATATCATAGTGACGCACACTATTATGGCAAGTGTATACAAAACTAATGGTGTCAAGCTTTTTTTTCAAGGATTCAAACATCTACCTGCCAAGGGAATACTTATAACACAACATAAACTAGAATGAGAAAGATTTGTTTCGATGAACAAATATACTTACATCTGAGAACGAGGAGAGAGATGAGGACAGTGGTTCCAATGTATCTGTCAAGTCCAAGTTGACACTCCCTGAGCATACAGGGGAATCCAGTTGAAATGTCTCACGTGATGAACTAGCAGTAAACATTACCTCTTGTACAGGTGACATACTACTCATTTCATCCCAAGTCTTATCATTATCATCACCAATTTGTTCATCCTGGCCATTATACTCGCAACTAACATCACACCCCAAGTACAGCTGCATTGCATTAACATCAGCCTCAATATCGCTGTCACTTTCATCATCTTTATTCAGATGAATCAAAGGTTCTATTTCAGAAATGTCATCTTTCTTGTTAATCTTGCATTCGGTCGAGGTTGTTTTCCTAAATTGTATATCATTGACTTTGTTGCCAAATATTTTGTGTCTGTTTATTTCACTTTCTAGGTCATATTCATGCATATCTTCATTATCACGACCCAAGTACAACTGCATTGCATTCACATCAACCTCAATGTTGCTGTCAATTATATCATCTTTATTCAGATGAATCAAAGGTTGTATATTTTCAGAAATGTTGTCTCCCTTATTATTGTTAATCTCATGTTCTCCTGAGATTCTTTTCTTAAATTGTATATTACTGACTTCGATGCCAAATATTTCGTTTTTGTTTACTTCACTTTCTAGGTCATATTCTTGCATGCATTTTTCTTTTAAAGTCTCCAAATCATCTGCCTGATTAAGCTCACTTTCGTTCCATGACATGTCGTGTTCTGCTGCACCCCCGTTTACAGTTGATACTGAATTTCTATCACAGATCAATTTGTTGCTACTACCGTAGAGTTCTATTTGATTAACTTCGCTATCTATATCATATACATCAACATCTTTGGTTA